ACTACTGGTTTTTGCAACTTCACGAACTACAAATAATTCGCCTACAATGAAGAGAAATGGCTTGATCTTTATCTCAATTTAAATCCATCGTAGCTCAGATGTTTGTTAAAAGCACAAAACGTGAGTTACAAACCTATGAAAATTCAAGCAAAAAACTAAAAGACTTCCCCAAACTAGAGTTAACTGCAGCTGAAATAGCCCATCTCGATAGGGCTCAGTTGCAAGTTAAAAGCGACCACTTCAACCCGGTAAAGATTACACAGACAAGTTTTCGAGACCAGCTTTAACGTACATTTAGAAAATCGGTAAAAAAGAACATCTACTCTTAATTATTATTTTAGAAGCTATGGGAGTCCCGAATTTTAAAAGCTAGATTTAGACTCCGTTCTGAAAACATTGGAACGGGAAGGCCATTTTCTCAAAGCGACCTATGCTATCAGCAATAAAGTCGCGAAAATGCGCAATATGCGTGTCTGTAGTAGCTTTGTGCCCTAATGCTAAATCCCATATTTGCGCGTTAAACCTGAAGGTGTTTTAAGGAGAAAAAGAGATGCAGTCCTCTAATAAGAATTTGTAACCTTCAATCTAAGCTTAAAAAGCTCCTATAAATCCAAGCCGCAGTTACCTAAGTCAAGCGTGATATTAACAGAAACGGCAGGGACGCAGGTCCAAGCAACTTGCAATTTGTCAAATCACAGAGCTCGGGCCTTAGCACGGCAACCAAGCTTAGACCGAGTCTTAGTCTGACTACATTTTATCTAGTGTCCTGCCTTAATTTCACTTACAGAGGGTAGGTATGGGTGATAAGAGTCGTAATCTGACAAGCATTGACAGCGAAAGGACAAGAGAGGATATGCTATGCACCCTTGGCAAGCACCCTTTCCGCTCTTTAGATTTGGAGCCAACCCCCCTCACCTTCGGCCCAGTCTCTAACACTGCCCTCCTAACCGTTTGGTTGAAGCAGCTCTCCGCGACACAAGCCTCAAATCGAAGGCGGATTAAGGCAGACGAGTGCACCGGCGCCGCAGACGAAGCGCTAGAGTGCACTTGAACTCAAGTGTGTCGGTCTTGCGTGTCACAGAGATGCTGTCCTTCTGTCATGTGCACGCCTCCGCCTCGAGCTGACCGAAAAAAATGACTCATTGAATCGACTCGCGTCCCAATTACACCCATTTTGGAGACATGTTTAAAATGAATAAGCTGAACCTGCGTACTGCACCATGATTTCAAAAGCCTGCCAGACAAAGGCGAAAAACGATTTACGCATAATTTGCCGGTTCGAGGGTCAGGCGAAAAAGGCTGTAATGAAAAGATCAGCACAAAGGCTTAACGAAGATGAAGGGCAAGTAAAGAAATTTCGCAAAAGTTAGTTATTTGGAGACTCCAAAAGGCGACCAAAAGTAAAGTCACACTATTCCTCTGGCAAGAGGAAGATCAGAACTAATGGGTAAAGGAGAGTGCAGACAGCCCAGCTCGATATAATGTCATCTCACATGTGTTGTCCTAGATGGCCCACATGATCTTAAATATATATAACCAATTTGGGTGCGACGTACCAATGGCTAAAGGTTAGGCAGGTCTCAAAGGATAAGACCATTTCTGATTTATCAACGCTTGGAAAAGAACTAGTTGCGAAAATATGATCCAGAACAGCCAGTAGCCAAAGCATGAATATAATCAGTGTTATTACGGTTAAATAAAGAAACCCATCAAGGCCCTCTACTTTGAGTAGCAGTTTCACGTCAGGTAACCTCATTGAATGAGGACGAGACTAAGGCAATAGTGCATATGATGCCTGCAATTGTCCAACTAACTATTAGCCACGATTACTCAGTGATGATTTTTATCGAAATGCGACATTGAAAAAACGAAGCTACTTTGAATCCTTTCGTCTGTAAGCAGGGGAGAAAATAATAATATAGACCCGGTCCTTATCTCCATCACCGGATAAATCTGCTTTGAATCTTAAAATATGAGTGATTTAGATCCTATACAGGGAAATAAAAACAAGGGTCAGCTACTAAGGTTGAAAGAATAAGGGTCAATGGAAGTGTAGAACCAAGACAAGCTTAACTGGCAATCATTCTTATGAAGATATACCAGCTTGACTATTGTAATAATGACGAGTTTAAATGTAAACAGGATATCGCCCTGTCAATACTCTCCCCTCAAAAAAATGCGAATTCGGAGAAGTCTGTCTTGATTTAAAAACCCCATTCTACGGACCCAATAATATTTTAACATTGTAGGCGAATGGTAACGCGTTGCCGCTTGAAAAGAACAGTCCAATTTTAGATTTCCTCTGAGGCAAAGCCAAAAATTAAATCCTTGTAGAAAGTAAAGTTAAGTAAACTTCAGTGATAAGAAGCAGAATATAGCAGACAGCTCAAGTATCAGACGTTGGTTAAGCAAAGCGAACCAGAGGTCACCTTAATTTAAAGCCATAATAAGAACCAAAAAAAGCCTAGTTCGTTATGCATGCCAAATAAGTTTGCATAAGGCTATCCCTGCAACGACTCCTAGCGATTTTTCGGGTAAAAGAAAGTCGGAATTTTATCAAGTTATGTATAAATTACACGTCATACAAGATAATAGAAATAATATTTGGAAAATGTATAAGATGAACTTCATGAGCCATTCGGTAGTATTTATGAAGAAGCAAATTGTGTTGAAGGACATCACAACAGCCGGGAGAGCAAAAAACGAATGGAAGGAAACAATGGGTATGGAAGGATATGAGTATGAAGAATAAATAGATTAATTGACGCATATCCATGATGATCGGTTCCATATCCGTACAAATCGTTAAAATCACGATGAGATCTAAGAACTTAATCTAGGATAATCCAGAAGTGTATTTTACATGCGGGGCAAAATGCTATTTTATGAAAAAGAACGTAGCTATTTATATTATATACACACATAAACAAAAATGTTAGATGGAAAAGAATAAGAAAAGGAGAAATTGTTAGAAAATAAATAAAGGAATCTTAGTACTAAATTCGAGATTATTGGGTCATGCATTAAAAACTATAGCCCAAATAGTATTTAAATAGATAAAAAGAATAGAGTAATTAAGACTAAAGGCCAGGTCATTGTAGACAGAAACGGAAAGTTTTATGCATTGGGCAAATTGAGAAGAGATGCACGGAAGGTACGATGTGGTAGAGATAACGATTTGAACGGCAATGAGGGTATCCTTAAGATTAGGGCTTTGATTAGCAGTCAGAAGGCTAGAATAGGAAGCTTGTGTGAAGGCGAGGCTGATGGCCACTGTGGGAATCAGCCTTGAGAT